CTACGATGACTCATTGCATCACACAACTTTCCTCAGCTTTGGGGTGGTGGAGATGTGGAGATCCTCCTCCTTGTGAGTCTTTGTTAGTCCATCAAGTAACGGCAGAACACCAGCCACCCAACAGTGACCCCAAACACCAGCCGTCCAACATGACCATTAAATACCAGCTACCCAACGGTGACTGCTGAACACGGGCCATCAGTGACCCCCGAAACCAGGCATGAAAGAGCAACTGCAAACATCAGTTCTGTGTGACATAATTCAAGAAGATAACAAGGACTCTGCTCCAAGGAATCAGGATTAGGAAGGGAAATATCCACATCTGACACTGTCAGGGAGTACCTTTAGCATAGGGTGTTGACCAAGAACAGACAGACGACTGGTTTAGGAAGACAGTGACTTTCTCTAGTGCTAAGCCAACCTTCACTCCTTTCCTCAACAGGCACATAGGTGCCTGTTCTACCCATAGAAACCTCTGTCTTCATGGGCATCAAATCCTTATCAAATGCACACACTGTGAAGGCAGAATGTGAGCTTCAGGGTCCCTGCTCATCTCTAGGATGAGCTGTTGCTCCCATTCCTGCAGTTGCTAAAAGTTTATGTTTTGTCATGTGTGGGGTGAGTGCCTCCTGTAAGTACCCTGTTGGCCAATGGCTTTATAGGGATGCACTACTAGCATATAAACCCCTGGGGCTGGGGCAGTGGTTGGAATGAGTGTCTTCTACATTCTTATCTAAGTGTGAACCTACGCTGTTTTCAAAGGTATGTAACTGCCCTACATGAAACCAACAAGTGTTACGAGAGTGTGACCTCAATCGCAGCTTTCTTCTCTTCCTTGGGGCATCTCTCAGCCTTACTTCCTGTCCCTTCTCCAAGTCTGCCATGCCAAGCACACGGAACCCTGGTGACTAGGCTAGATTAGCAGGGTTTAGGGGCAGATGGGCACAGCAGAACCCAGCTCTGCAGATGGGCAGAGGGGCTTGGTACAGAATCTACTGTGAACAGGCAGGAAATGCCCTAGAGCCCAAAGGAGGAGGGAGAGGATGTGGTCAGGAAGGAGCAGAGAGCTGTGTCTGGGAGATCGTACAAGGCACTGAAAGCTCGGAAAGGAGCCCTAACTTTATAGGCACTGAAAGAACGTTGAGAGAAGGACAGACATTTCTTCCAGCAGCGGCCTTCAACAGAAGCGCTGCCACGGTTCTGTGAAATTTTGGCCTGAACTTTACAGATGTTGAAGCTGATTAATACAGGCTGGAACTTTTGCCCCCGTTCTCCAATGTGTAATTTACACACTTTGTATCCACCGAAGTGGTCTTGTTGCCTCTGTTGGTTCAAAGGTGAGTTTCCTCTCACCGAATGCCCCCAAATTCCTCCTTCTGTCCACTTCAGGAATAAGAGCTGAGTGAGTACAGGGTCAAAAGTTAAAAATCCTTTTCTGCCAATGGGATTTACCTGCTGTAGATCCTGAAACCAGGACCTTGGGTGGAGATGGCCACTCGGGCTGCCCCTTGGTGCGTGTGGCCACTGCCAGTGCAGCTTCCCTCCAGCTCTGGCCCACAGTCCTCTCCAGCATCTGGAGGCCAAGTCTCCTCTGGTCTGGGGCACTGGTGGGACAGCTGGGATGGCAGGACTGCATGTCCTACACCAGCCTGCCCCATGACCCAGAGAATGCCCCAATGGGAGCTCCAGGGCTCAGCATCCTGAGAACGCAAGCCACTTTGTTTAATAATCATGCTTTTTGCCCTCTGAATAACGCATCCCCATCTTTAGCTTTCATTTCCATGTAAGCCATTTACATTTGGTTTTCAAAATTCTTCATTGTTCTGGTCTGCAGGTGCCTCTTTCTGGTAGCCCAGGGGTACTATTTATTTTTATATTTCTTCTGTCAAGAAATGGCTGTGCTTGGGAAGGTGTTTTGGATAGAAATATGCAAGGTCTGGCCATTTCCAGAGAGGAGCAAAGTGAACTGTCTGGAAGGAGCTCACCAGGGCAGGGTGACCTGTAACATGCAGGCTTCTGTCATCCAGACCCAGGGCCACTGCAATGAAAGGAATGGGAAGATTCTGGAGGCATTATTGACCAGGACCAAAGATCATTATTTATTTTCAGTAGACATTTTATGTAAAATGTCTGTTGACATAGAAAGGTATATATCGTTACCAACTGTCAACATGCCCATTACGAGCCCAGTGACAGAGTAGGTGCCCAGCAGGATGGTGAGAAGTTCCTTTTCCATGGAGACATATACTTGGGTGTTAGTGGGTTAGTTGGTTCCTGCCAGTGGGATGCTTGGAGCCCGGCTCTATGAGTGCTTCCAAAATATTCAAGAAACTTACACTAATGATACAACCTGCTCTGGGTACAGGCCGCCTCACAGGGAATCACTCGAAATGTCTGACAGATGGAACAGATGTTCTTACTCACCAACACACTAGCAATGCTCCAAGGGGCCACATGCTTGGTTTTAAACATTCACTTGGAGAAATTCAAAATTACAAAGGGCAGCTGAGGTTAATGTCTTGGAAACTCAATGTATAAATGATGTCTGGAGAATTAGGTGGCTGTAGAACCAAATGGTTCATTTTCAAATTTGCTTCTGGGCAGTGATTCATCCTGCAGGTTTGAAGTGAAAGATATGGCTTTACCAATGGGGTGCAGGTTATTTATTATTTGTCCAGTTCTAGGGCTGCTCATTTGCAGTTAGGCATGAATTATTAACAAGTCCTACACTGGAGCAGGCTATAAAAGTGTGCGTTGGATAAACTGTGGGTTGGCACTTTGAGGGGCATGACTAGCATTAATTCTTCTGTCAGGCAGATTTCCTTTGCTGTAAAAAGCACCTGAAAAAACCAACTGATGAGGAGGAAAGGTTGATTTCGGCCTATTGTTTCAGAGTGTTCAGTCCCTGGTTACTTGGTGTCATTGACTTTGGAGACTGTGGTAAGGCAGAAACATCAGAGGGAAAGGGTGTGGCAAAGCAAAGCTGCTTATCTCATGGCGGCCTGGAAGTGAAGGAGAACAAGAAAGAACTGGAGGAGGAGTCTTGACATTCCCTTCCAGGGTGCACCCCACTGATCTAATCAGGCCCTGCCGGCTAAAGGCCCCACCACTGTCCAACAGCACCATGGACAGTGACTAAGCCTGCAACATGTAGGCCTTTTGAGGGACGTTCAGGGCCAATCCATGCTGTCCCTGGAGCTGGGTGAAGGAATATGGCAATTCTTCCTGCTGACCTGAACACTGTGTGAGAACCAGAGGTGCCTGTCAGGTGGCAGCTTGAACATCGGCTGCCTGCAGGAGAACCTCTGGAGTGGCTACTTCCATTCCTTTGAGCAGCAATCATCATGTGTGTCTCTTCATGACATGCTGGCTTTTTTTTATCTTGGTTGACCAGAATGCTTTAATTTAGTCCCCTTTAAAAAACATCTGTCTCATCCCAATCAGCACCATGAGGCAAATTTTAGGATGCATCTCAATTCCCAGTTAGGTCCTATCACAGACTGTATGGAATGTGAAACTTCATCATTTAGTATTCATTATTCTCAAGAGATTGCAAGTGTGACAGACACATAACACATGGCAGCTACCTCCTCCCCACTTGTGTGGTTGGCAGATATCACCAACCTGTCCCTCAGGACTTCCGTGACATCACCAACCCCTCCCCATGTCTTCCATTCTCAGGGAGCCTGGACACAGCCTTAGGATCTTTTTTGCCATAGTAGTGCGGCCAGCGACATCCGACCAAGTTGTTTTCCCGGTCCCCATGTTTCATTCCTGCTTATTCAACACTCTGTGATGACTGTGGCTCAGGCAGGTGTAACATGACACACTAGTGTGCATTTCCTAGTGCAGGATGTGCACGGACACCTGGGAGTGCGGGACACTTGTGGGGCTGGGGGAGGCACAGGCAGGAACAGGTGAGGGCTAAGGAAACCCAAGGAAATGTGGTCTTCAGCCAAGAACCAGTCACAGAAGAACCCTAGTGCGTGCACTCCTGCGGCTACCACACATCTTTTCTCCACATCTACAGGTGGCTGATCTAACTTCCTGTGACTCTGGCACCTGCGGCCATGCCTGGAACTTGCTAACCTGCTAGGGAATGCACAAGGGGCCCCAACCCGGCTCAGTGGAGTGTAAGAACGCACACTCTGATTTGGAACTCATACAAAGGACGCCACTTGATAATTTCATGGAATTTACCATCTCTCACCTCAGCCCCAGCTTCGCACCCTGAGTCTGTAGCAAGTGGACATCAGGAAGTTCTGAACTGATCACTAAGACAATAACAATTATGACCATAATGGTAAGCTAAATTTACCAAGTACCTGCTGTGCCTCAGGTACACAGTAAGCACCTTACAGGCATTAGCTTAATTCACCCTCCCAGCGACTTCACAGGGTGGTCACCGCCCGTGCCCAACAGAGATATGGAGCGCTTAGCAAGATGAACCCATGTGCCCAAGGTCACAAGGACCGTAAGTGGTAGAGTCCAGACTCTCACCCAGGCCTGTCCCATCCTTGCTCAACAGATCTCTGCTCCTGCCCCTTCTGGGTGGCCCTTCTTCCTATTGTCATTGGTGTGATGGGACAAGCACATATTTGGGATAGATTATCAAGGAGTTGGGTCACAGGAACATAGTTTTCTGAGATTTTTCGTACAACTCCGATTCTTTATAGGCTTGCACATGGACCTCTAGAATTGTTTTATTACTCTTCTGGATGACCCAGGTCTGTTGATGTGTGAGACATTGCAAGTAGCTTACAGAGAACAGGAGACGGACCTCAGGGTGGCGACTTAGCAAGGGCAGTGTGCCCCGAAAGCCGCAGCCCTCTGAAAATGAATGAGTGGGTGCGAAGCACTCCTGCTGTGGAGCCGCACCCTTGGGACCTGCACCTGTCCCAGTGTGAGCTGTGCTCCCACACAGCCAGCCCTTCCCACTGTGTCCCCGCACACCCCAGCACCCACCTGCAGCAGCCGTGGCATGGGTAGCAGCCACTCACCTTCACACTGCAGCAGGAAGTAGTCGGCGCTGTGGCTGAAGGAGGCGCTGAAGTAGGTGCAGTTCTCCACCAGGTCGCAGGACAGGCACTGCCTGTTGAAGTTGCCCACTGTGTTGGCACTGGAAGACAAGGACCCGGTGTGAACCAAGGCAGTGGGTGCATGGTCGGTGGTCAAGGCTAGGACTCTGTGTGTGCACTTGAGCCGAGTGACATCTCTTCTACCAGGCTCCCCACAGGTCCCTGCTGCTGCCTTCCCTGGGCCTCACTCCCACCCATCTCCTTGCTGGGGTACCAGAGACACCAGCTCCATCCCACAACCCTCCCCTCCCTCCCATCTTGGAGTTCTCAGCACCTTTGCTCCTGGGATGGTTTCTCCCTGCACACCTGTGGCTCAGCTCTGAGCATGTGAGAGGGTGCCGTTGCTTGGTAATGCTACCCAGTGTTTTGAACCCCTGTGTGCTGTGCTCGGAATGGACAATGGGCAACTTGAGAACATGGAGCGGGTTCACAAAAGGCAGAGCTCCAGGGGCACAAGTTGGCCCGGCCCTGGCCGCTTCTAAACCTGACTGCCAATGGATGGTGAGAGGTGTAAGTGATACTGTTTTCCAGACATGGAACTGGGTGGACAGGGATGCCCTGGTCAATCATAGTGTCCCATGAGAAGGGCTAAGTGTCACCTGACAGAAGGAAGGGGATGCCTGTATCCTGGGAGAAGCTCTCACCTGCACGTCTGCACAGGAAGAGGCCACTATGACCGCACACTGCAGTGTGACAGAAGGCAGCACCTGGTACTCTTTGCTACACACAGGTTAAACGGGCCACCTTCTTTTTGTACATAAACTCGGTGACCGGATTTCAACGATCCTAGCAGATGTGCAGCTGCTCACCAGGGGCTTCTTCCCCCGCCTGCACCCTGTGGGCTGGCTTTCCACTCTCAGCCAGAAGCCCAGTGCATTGAGGGGAGATGGCCCTGAGCCTGGGCTCCTCTGCCATTTCCGTGTTGGGCAGGGGCTGATGGGCATCAGCTCCATCCAGACTTTCAGGCAGGAGCTCAAGTCCCCTGATCTGCATTGCATGAGGTCCTCTTCATTAGCTGTGCATGCTCAGGGAGCAGCCAGCAGTAGCCCACCTGCGGGGAGGCATCTAAGAGGCACCCTTGGGCCCTCCTCCCTCTGCTGTCCTCAGTTCTGGGATACATAATGAGAGCCTGTGCTGAGCGAGACCTCAGGTCTAGTTCTGGTTAGGATCTGCGCACCTCTGTCCATCCTCAGCCTGCTTTGAGTTCATGGAGCTTGTGCAAAGTTGTACAGCAAGTGTGCAACAGGCTGGAACAGCACACCAGCTCCCCTCCCAGCCCACCAGCTGCGAACCAGGCTCTGCTGTTCCCCAAACACCCGCTGAGAATGACCTCCAGTTCGCACTCAAATTCAGGTGCAAGGAAAGACTGCAGATGCCCACCCATTGTTAGGCAGGGGTGACGGGGGGAAGGCAGTGTGGAGAGGCCCTCCATCCAACAAGAGCAGGGAAATTGAATGAGGCTTCAGATGTGCTGGCTCCTCTCCAGATCTTAGAGCTCCCCGCTCTGGCCCCTCTGTGTGCTGAGAGGTGCAATCTTGTCCCACAAGCCTGCAGTGCCCAGGGGAGGGGAGCCTCATGTACTGGAGTCAGAGCTACCTGTACAGCTGGCGTCTCTGCGGCAGGTCCTCCGTGCTCAGGAAGTAGCTGCAGAGGTGGTGAAAGAGCACAGGTTAGCTGCCCAGTGCATGCTAGGTACCACCGTCCAGTTTCCCAGAAAGGCCCTGGTTCCCTGGGCACACCAGGAGCCCGGGCACACCTGCGGCTGGGGCAGGAAAGGCCAGCGCAGAGTCTTCAGCCCCAGGTGCCTCCTGCCCTGGACTTGCCTGAGAGCTGTGGATCCTGTGTCAGGGTGAGGACAGGGTGATGGCATCCGCATTTGGACCTGGGAATTTCTTCCCCAGATCAGCGACCCTCTGGCTCCATCTGTGTTGGCATGAAGCCTGGCGTAGTAAATACTCGCTGTCCGACTCTCCTGAGACCCGGATGCTGCCGGGTGTGAGTGGGGACTCAGAGGCCATGTTGGCTCAATCCTGGCTCTGCAGGGCCCCAGCTGAATTACCTGGGGTGGATGACTTGGCTGCTCTGAGTCCTGGCTTGTTTAACTTAAAAACAGGAAAGCAAGGAGCCCACCCTGTGTAGCTACGAAATGGGAATGCTGGCAACGCACTCGGTCCTGAGCCGAGTGCAGCAGAGACTCAGGGAGGACCAGGACAGCAGCTGCCACCGGCCGCAGGTGTCCCTCATGGGGCGGGGCACACATCACTCTGTGCCCGGCGGAGAGGCTGGGGTGCTGAGACGGATGCGTGTGCCTGGGCAGCTGGAGCCCGTGCCTGCTGTCTGGTCCAGGAGCAAGAGGCGACCAGAAAGGGCAGGTGGGCCCCGCGGGTCGGGACGACGGCGCCCCGGAACACAGCCCCATCTCACTCACATCTTATTGCGCTTCTCGTCGTAGGACAGGATCTTGGTCACGTCCCAGTCCCCGGAGGTGATGGACTGGATGTTGTCATTGCTGCTGTTGGGCTGAAATGCAGAGAGGGCGTCAGGAGCCGACCAGGACCCGGCTGCCAGACCCAAGACAGATGCCTTCGTGCCACCCTGCCGCCCATTCAGCCCACTCTGCACTGGGCCACAGGAGTGCTGTGGTCCACGACCCTAGCACCCACCCCAGACTCTCCAGCTGTGCCACAAGGGTCAGGGGTTTGTGCCCTGTATGTGGCAGGTGCCTGCCGCTCTGACTCTATGGGCCCGGGAGGAAGGAAGGAGAGAAGGGGGGATGGGTGCGTGAGATCAGGCAAAAAGCGCAGGCGCGGCGGGGGGGGGGGGGGACTGCAGTCTGCTCTGCACTCTGTGGCCCTCGCCGAGGCGGGTGGGATGACTGGTGTGTGTTTTGCACGCACACTCCCACGTGCTTCCACCAGCGAAGCTCCACCATCAGAGCTTTGAATCATCATGAGAAAGAGGTGCCGCCAGCAGTGACTTGGTGCGTGAGGTGCAGCTGTGGGCAGCTGTTCCGCGGGAGGGGGCGGGAGGCAGGTGCCCAAGTGGATGGAAAGTAACGTAGGTGAAGAAGGCCTGGTGGCCAACAGCCTGGGACCACAGACGTGGGAGCAGGGCGTGCGTGAGGAGCTGGGCGGGGATGTGGACTTGGTGGGGGCGGTGACTGGGTCACCTAGGGGCTCCTGGGCTCAGACGCCAAGGCCTGGGGTGGGAATGGGTGCCGTGGACGGGGCGGGACCTGCTTCCTGCTGGGTGTGGACAGAGGTGATCAGTGCTGATCATCCGCATGAATTCAGAGACTGAATAGAAACATCCAACTTTCAAAGACTCTTATTTCAAATGACCCCAAATGAGAAAACAAAGGAATGCGGGGCTAGAGAAGGAAGACTAGAAAAGTCCCCAGTGAAGACAGGCTGCAGGCTGTCCGGAGGTCACCTGGCTACGAGACTGGAAAAGGAGACTTTCTCTCCGAGAAGTCACGGGGTCTCCCTCTCTTCTTCCCGCCTGCTCTTCGGTGGGTGTTCTTGGGACTTTTCTTTTTTTGGAATTGGCTTTTGGGCCATCATGAACACAAGCCTCCTACTTCAAAGCCATAGAATATTTTGACCAATCTTTTCCCTATTCACGTGTCCTGACCTCAAATAACTTTAAATGATTTAAAAATGAATCCCGGGGTCATGGGGTCTGTGACCTCGACGATGCTCCTTGCTGACCGTCAGACCCCGAAGTCAGGTGCGTGGCGAGGGGCCGTCACCGCAGCATGAAGCCACAGCTGCCTCTGGCTCCAGGATGGGGGCCACTAGCAGGTCTGCTGCGGGGCAGGGTGTAAAGCACAGTTGGACCCCCAAAGTCCTGGCTGTACCCAGCCGTGAGCCCAGCCCCCTGCTGTTGCCAGATGCCCCCCTTTCCAACCTAAAGCCCGCTGGACTCTCTGCCCTTGGACCTGATGGTTCTACAACTCTAGTACACCCTTCGGCACCAATGTGAGTGCCACCTCCAGGGCTCTTTAGGTCCCTGGAAAGGACACACACGCTCAGTTGTGAGAGCTGCTTCCAACACACACAAACCGCCGCATTCACCTGGGATGACGACACCGTGATGTGATAGAATTTTCCTCGTCCCCCCTGTGGGATTGCTCTGACGAAGAAAAACTTCCGGCCATCCTTGGAGAACACAGGCTCTTCATTCTGCAGACAAACACAAGGGGCCCGATCAACACAGCGCTCCTGGTTGCTCTGGAGAAGGACAGCAGGATGTGGTGAATGTGGGTTTGTCTTCTCTGGTTCTTAGGGAGAGAAGCAGTGGGGAGGAGGGTGCTGTGTGGGTCTTCTCTTTCCTCAGGAAGCCTGAAGCAGACTGCTGGCTTTTTAAAAGAAGAGGAGCAATGGCGAATTAAGAGGCCACAGTGCCGGTGGAGGCGTACGAAAGAGCGTCCCTTAGTCCCCAAAGCCCAGAGGGAGGCGGGTTGTGTGCGCCCCACGCTCACCTCGAGAACAGGCACGCGCTTCCCGAGGCACCACTGCCCCCAAGCACAGGGTGCGCCCGAAGTTCTGCGGCGGTCTTTGTGACCAACCCGGAGGAACACAACCCTGAAACATCACGAACCTGATTCTGTCTACAGAATGAATTCTCTCCTTTCAAGGCCGTCTTTACTCTTTTCTTTAACATAATCCATTCTGCACTGAGTAGCTCATCAAGAAGACGAGGGAAAAAGAAAAAAGTGACATCCGCATAACCTCAAATGTAGACAAGAGGAAAGACGGGGCACTTGCCCCTGGCCACTCACATGGGGAGGGAGGTTCAGTGTAAACTGGCATGGACAGGCCTGAGGCTCGGGTCCACAGTCGGAACCAGCACTCAGGGGTTCCTGGGGACAGGCCTCAGGCTGGGTTTAAGGGCAGAGGAGTGGAGCACTGCCACCAGCTCAGTCGGGCTCCCCAAACCCGGAACAGCCAGGCGCCCAAGCTCCAGAGCCCCGTGCAGGGCGGCTGCCACTCTGCCGGTCGGAGGGGGCCTGTGGAGAGGCAGCCCCCGCTCTGCAGCTCAAGCCCAGAAGTTCCCATCCGTGAACACCAATTAGTTGGCTCTGATACCTATTTTCTGATCCAAGGGGCTCCGCGCTAAGGCAGGGAGGAGAACAAACAGTAAATAAACCTCAGCTGGCACAAGGAAAACTCATTTCCCCGCGGTGCACGAGCACATGCAAAGATGATGTGCCCAGAGAAATAAACTAACATGTGATTAAAATGACATTTAATCTTCATGAATATTTGCAATAAAATGAAACCTTTAATCTGCAAATATTGATTTTCCTATTTAGAGCTGGAAGCATGGTATTTAGCAGGAGAGGGCGTGGAAGGAGCAGCCGTTAATTTGTCCCTCCGCACGCTCTTCTATTTGCTGACAGCAGCACGCATGAGGCGATGTTACCCCAGTTTTCTGGGGGGGCTGTTTGCACTTTGGGTAGAAATGAAGTGTGATATAATTAATTCCGGCCAGAAGCATTGTGTTTGTTCTGACCCTGTGTTCACCGTGGACACCAGGGAGGGGTCCGTCTTCACCCCTCTGAGACTCAGTTTCCCCTGCTGTGAGCCTAGTTTTAGTGACAGAGGGCATAGCTTTTGGCCGGGGGCCTTGGGTGTCAGTGTTGGTTCCGACCCTCGTCGGATGTGGGCAGCGTTTCTGGTCTAACATGGTTCCTGCAGCTCCATTCATGGCAGGTCTGTAAGGACTGAGTCCTTCACATCCTCGAGGGCCTCTGTTTGTTTGTTTTTTTTTTGTTTGTCTGTTTTTCTCCTGTACCAGGAACCGAACTCACGACCTTGCACTTGCCAGGCAGGCGCTTTTGCCACTGAGCTAAATCCCCAGCCCCTTGAGGGCCTCTGCCTGAGCTATTTGGAGTGTTCCTGCCAATTCTTTCCACAGTTTACATGTGTTTATCTTCTCCAGACTTCCAGGCAAAATTCTGATGAATTTTGAAACCAAAAATCTGGTGAAAGAAGACGGACAGTTAGAAATTGACCCATAGGACTCAGAGCAACCAGACGGATTGCCCTGGGTTCCACACCCCTGGCGGTGGCGGCGGTGGCGGTGTTGGGTCCTGGCGATGCACTCTCCCCACAGGGTAGCAGCGGTGGGTCTGTGCATGAAGGGAGAACCTGCAGCGGGAAGCCGGCAGGCGTCCACACACATCACCCATAACTCTTGGCTCCCGGGGGTCTCTGTGGGGGTCCACACCAGGGACTATGGGAGGAGATGGAGGAAGAGAGAGGAGGCGGGGCTCGGGGGAGTCCCTGCAGCCTGAGGGCAGCAGCAGGCCCAGCTCAGGCCGTCCTGCGGGTCACGGGTAATCGGGCGACTGGCTGATGTGAGCACACAGGGTCCCTGGGGCCTGCAGATTTACCAGGTGCAGCTATGCCGGGGTATGTGGGGCAGGCTCCTGTGACCCGCTGGAGATGGGTGGGTGGAGGTGGTGTGCCCTTGGCCAGCGTCCTGCTCAGGGGTCCCCACAAGCCCCTGAGGAGAAACACTCCAGCCTGAACAGGCAGCCAGCAGCCTTGTGGGCTGGGATGACAGATCCAGCCAGACAGGAGCTCCTGAACTGTCCTGCAGGATGTCATGATGTCCCAAAGGAGCGAGAGCACTGCGGGTGATCTTTGGAAAGCTGGGCCCGTGAATTCTTTGAGGAAAGCAGGATCTTAATGAGAAGCTGTTTGAAACTGGCCCTTTCTGCTGAGCAGGGACTCTGAGGCCCGTGCAGCCCTGAGCCTGCTGTCTGCAGGGCAGTTAGGCACACGAGGCCCCTCACTGTGGCCTGGGAGAGCACATCTAACGTGTGCCGAGGGAGGGTCTCGGCCGCTGGCCGCCTGCCCCACACCACAGCGTCGCAGAGGAGCCCGCTCCTGTCACACAGCTCGGTGCCTCAAGCTCAAGGCTACATTGTATATTTTCAAGTAGTTGTTCTTCAGGCGGCAAGCTGTTTGCTCAGTAAATGCTTTACAGTTTACAGTTTAAAGCTATAAGAGTGGTGATTTTAATGTATGCTACTGTCTAAGGTTCGCTTTGAATTCTCCGGAAAGGACCCGGTGTCCTGAATCCCAGGCAGGCTGTCCCCTGTGCCAGGCTGATGTCTTTTGTGGGTGATGGGACACACAGCCGATAGATGCAGAAGGATCCCCGGGCAACCCCGGCTCTGCGGCCACTCTGGCAGTGGAGGGTGGACCCGTGGTCTATCCTTGATTCTGGGATCACAAGCTGCTATCCCCCAGAGCTGGTCTCTCACCAGCGAGGACTCCAGGCCCTTGGGGGATGTCCTGGGGGACAGAGAAAGGGACCCAGAGCTGCTGTCCTCCTCTTCCCACCTGTCCCTGACAGACACTGCTGGCCTCTCCTGGCACGGCCATTGCTTCTGTGCAGAATCGCCACTGCCCAGGCAGGAGTCCCACGCCCCCCGCTGCGGGTCACTTTGCTGTCCGTCTGTCACGGACCTGCACTGAGGCTCAGTTTTTGAATGTACTTGAGGGTGAATGCACCCCGTGTCTCCATACTTGGGAAGTTCTGCACACGTCTGAGTTCTTAGTCCAGACTGCATTGTCTCAGAGCTGGCACCTGGCCTGGTTCAGTCCTTAAAATTTATTGAGGTAAAAATGAACATATTATAAAACGAAAATATTTTAATGAAAGTGAACAGTTACCAGTGCACTTGGTAAATTCACAATGCCGCGCAGCCGCCGGCTCTGCTCGGAAGCGCTTCCATCACCCCACACAGAACTCTGCATCCGCTGAGCTCTGCTCCCCGGCGCCCGGCCCTGACAAGCAGGGCGGGCTTTCTGTCTTCAGGAACTTCTCTATCTCGGTTGTGTCGTGTGAATGGACACGCCCTGTGGGGGCCTCTGTGTGTGGCTCGTTGCACGCGGGGCGTGTTCCTGCAGCCCTAGTCACAGCACCGGGAGGCGGAAGCTACCCAGAGCTGTCAAAAAATAGGCAAATGTTGGATGTCCATAGAAGGGAACATTATGTGACCGTGAAAGGGATGGTACAGGCACAGGCCACACTCAGCATGAGAGGGGCTGATTCACTTTTTACAGTTAAAAAAATTTAAAGTGACAAATTATTGAGTGTATATATTGGTATAACAATATTTTTTTACATATATAATATGGAATGGCCCCATTGAGCTAATTAATATATGCGTTTTCTCATATACTTCTCATTTTTCTGTGTTGAGAACTACATAAAATTCATTCTTCTGGCCATTTTAAAGAACGGAACACATTGTTATTAAATATAGCTACCGCTTTACTTTTGTCTAACTGGAGCTATTCCTGTGCTGGGAAAGACTGGCAGATGCTGGGAAAGGAAGTACTGCACTCAAAGGTGCAGGGTAGGATGTGAGGCTCCGCCCCGGAAGGCGTGGCCACAGGGCCGCGGCGGGTGGCTGATTTCAGGGATAACAAGCACAGAGAGCCAGGGCGCACTGGTATCCGTGAAGGACTGTAGCTGACAGGTGTGCTGTCCAGCTTTAGTTATTTCCCATATCAATAAAAAAATCCCCTTTTAAGATTCAAACCTAGTTTGATTTTTCCCACAGAATTTTAAGAAAAGGTGCATTCCCTGAGGTGGGACAGGAAGAAAAGAAGCTTCCCAAACTTTACTCCTGCTCTTCCTAGTGCAAGAGTGCGTGAGGAAACAATAAGAACCGAGAAAAGCAAATACCAGGCCTGAGGCCTTTCTTCCTGTGGTAAATGTAGCCTAAAAGAGGTTGTCGCAGGCTAGTTTGCACAGGCTTTTTGCCGTCATTCTGTGGGGTTGTTTTTGTGGTGCTGCGGATGGAACCCAGGACCTCCTGCGGGCCAGGCAAGCAGTCACCACTGGGCCACTCCCCATTCCTTCCGGTTTTCAGTTCCTAGACCCCGTTCCAGTGTGTCTTTCTGGACCTGAGCGGGGATGAAAACCCAGGGGCCAGTTCTGAGGAAGAACCTGCTGAGTCACAGAGGCATCTACTTCAGATTAAAACAAATCAACCACATTTGTACTTTTATTACTATCACAGACTAGATCTGGGCAACTTTTGTGGATTCATCATTTGGAACTCACGCAAGGGCGTAGGCTAGCTGGGAGCAGGGGTCTATGTGTGGCTCGGAGCTGTGACCTACCCACTGCCTTCTGTGGACACGGTTTGTGCAGAAGCCTTGGGTTCCAGGGGAGGCGGGGATGAGACAGGAGCTCCGCACCCTTACCTGTTGCTAGGTTACTGTTCCTGGGTAACTAGAGAGATGTCAGCAAGGGGCCCAGTGGAGGGAGGGGGTCAGCTGGAGGTGGTGGTGAGGACCCGGAGGGGGCAGTTACCTGTCTGTGGAGCCAGGCTTCACTTTCATCCTCATGTTTCTGCAAAATGAAACAGGAGCGTTAGCGTGGGGTTCTGCCGCGCTGTGTCTGTGGCCTGCGGTGCAGAGGGCAATTTGACTTTATGGGCACATGGGCTGCCCAGGCCCGGGCGGCTGGTGCGGGGAGCGAGTCATCCTGCTCTTTGCTCTGTCTCCACTGAGGCTCAGCACACAATACTAGCCTCCTTCAGCAAGAAGAAGCCACTGTCCCAAACAAGGGCAGCCCTCAGGGCGGAGGGCTGTGGGAGAAGGCGGCGTTTCTGTCACCCGGTGTCACTATGGGTCGGCGCATGCCCACATGGGTGTCCCCACTGATGGCCCGGGTCCCCCAGAGGCAGATGGCACTATGGGAGTCGTGGGGTGTTGTAAACAGGAGCTCTCTGTGAGCTGTGAAGCCTGGAAGGACGCACAACCAAACCAAACCAAACTCCAGCACAGCACACAGCTGCTGGCACCACACTGCGCCCAAGGCCCCAGGCCTGCCCCGGGGGACCGTCTGACCTTCCCGGGCAAGGCTGTGCCCCGGGCTCCATGCACAGGTTGGGCACGGAGGACATGTGCCCAGGGAGCACTTGCTGTGTCAGCCCTGGCAGCCTGCCTGCCTGTCTGCCCTCCGACAGCCCCACAGAATAACCCGAATCTGCTCCAAGTGACTTAAAAGGGAAAGAAACCCCTGGCCAACTTGGTGACGTTATTCCTAGAAACAAATCACTGTGATCTTCTGCCATTCCCAGGCAGCTCAGGGAGAGCTGCTTTTTAGAACCCTGGCCCAGCCTGGCCCTTTTAAGGACCCACCTGAGGCTGTGGATCCATCATTCCCACTCCACACCAGGTGGCCTGCTTCTCAGGGCTGTGACCCAGCTGTCCCTGCCCACACAGGGCCAGGCAAGCTAAATTGTCCAGGCTGAGATCCAACTTGCAATCCTCCTGCCTCAGCCTCCCAGAGGGCTGGGATTACAAGCATGTGTCAGCATGCCTGGCCTTCCAGCCTTTCTTCTATTCCTCTTCACTCCCTCTCTTCTTCTTTCACTCTCTCGTCCCTACACTTGCCTCCTGTCACTGCACGTCATCAGATACAAGCATTCCTGGCTCCCCAGGACCTGCCCCATCCATCGGGAGGGAGGCTCCCGGCCCTGGGGGTGGGGTGGGGGAAAGAGCAGAAGTGGTCCTGGAAGCCGGGGCTCTGGCCTGAGCCAGTTCCCGCCCCCCTTTGAGCACCACCTAGGGAGCAAGATCCAGGCCCTACAGCAGCTGCTAGGGCACTCCGGTGGGGTGCAGGGATTTAACAGGGCTTCTTGGCCTGTGGCTCCTCTGGGGTGTTCACGGTGATACCACATTTACCCACCAGGTGGCACCAAAAACCAGAGACCTGGCCACCAGGGCAGCCGCAGCACCTGCTAAGAGGCAGCTCAGGCCCAAAGGCGCTCTGACGCCCCCCTGCCTGCTTCCCGCGGGCGGACCCCTTCCCACCGTACCTTTGTGCAGACCCCCGTGGTGGCGTCGCAGAGGGTCAGGATGGACACGTTCTGCGCCCGGTTCAGCCAGGTCACGGCGACCTTGGTGCTGGTGGCCCACTTCACCATGGTGATGTAGTACTCCCTGCAAACAGGCCAAAGCAGGGGTGGGCAGGGAGCCTGGGGGCAGCAGAGGTCGCCCTCAGGCCTGGGCCCAGGGCAGCCTGCAATGAGGGCGCACAGAGGGCTGCCGGGTTCTGCGTGGCGTTTATGGAGGAGGCGCAGAGTGGGAACCTGAGACACCCGCATGAGCTGGGGTGAGGCCTGGGACCCGAGGCACCTGTCCTCCAGTGCACCTCGCACCCGCGGGGCCGGGTGGCTGCCGGGGGCTGCTCCTGGGCTGGGGGCTGTCCGCCGGCTTGTGGCTCACGCCCCCATCACGATTCCACACCCAGGACTCCACAGCCCTAGGCAGGGCAAGGGGGCGTTCTCAGAGCTCAGCTCTGCAGACCTGGGCTCTTCCAGGCTCTCTGCATTCTTCTCCCCTCTTCCTTAAAGACAGATACCCAGGGACATCGCAGCTAACCAGGGAAACTGGCTCATGCTCTGGGCGTCCAGTGATCTTGGTTTGATACCCTCAGCGCGGCATGCTGGATTCTGCCCAAACCTGAAAACACCTCGGGGCTCTGTGCCACCCGGTACGAGCTTACAAGACGTCTGGCTTCTGGTGATTAATTCCAACCTCCAGAGCCCTCCAAACGCTGGCTTTAAAAAACCCCAATTTCATATTTAAGACAAAGAAGAAAATGCGAAGAAAATGAATCTCTTCAAGCGACTTCCCAGCTAACCCTGGCTCCATCACCTCCTGGTCTTTAGAAGGATGGTGAACCTTTTAGAAATGAGCGCCCTAACTGCAACCCCAAACCCACTTATTTATCACAAAGTGCCAACACTGCAATTAAACCTTGATACTGGGGTCTTAGTTCAGAAAGAGCAACTCACACATTAACATCTTTTGTCTTAACAGAAAAGCAGCATGTGTGTCCCAGGTTCGCCACCACTGACCCACCCTGTCTCTATCTGTGTAAGAACTGCTGTTCAGAACGATGACCTTGTGGTCTTACAGGATCTTTATCACCAAAGAATGCAGCAGCTTCATCAGACAATTCTTAGCAAGCTGGGAAGGAGCCTCCCTGCCCTGAATACTTATTTCCACCCCATGGGACCAAATACCTAGGTGCTTGGAACTAAGCCTGAGTTAATCAGGAAGCTAAGTTGTTGGTGTCTCCCATTCCCCAAGTCTATGTATTAATTAGTGTATTTGGCGAGTTAGCCTAAATCAGGTAAATATGCAAGCAGGATGAACACACCAGCCCTGAGCTGAAGCCTGTGACTGAGGGGCTCGTGTGGCTTGGGGAGTGGGGCACGGGATCCCTTACCATGCTCCACTGCAGCCTAGGAAGCTCATGGAGGACGAGAGAGGTAGGGAAGACCCAAAGTGTTTACACAGATGGGAGGGCATTCAAGAGTCATCCAACTCTCACCATTTCAACCTTCCCACTCGGTGCTTTCTGGGACACAGCCATGTCTTGGATGCCACCCGTCGCTGCCTGCACACGCTGGGCCCTGGTCACGGCTCTGAGAGGCAGTGCGTCCTCTCTGCCACACTCCCAAAGGTCCTGCCTTGCTGCCAGCGTCACTGCCCCAAACACGGGTACGTTATCATGATGGAATTAGTCACCTCCGAGTACCTGCAGTGCTGTCATTTTTATTCACTCCGTCCTTAGAAATATTTCAAGGTCCATGCCCGGATCTTGCTTCCATGGAACACTTTATTTTCTGTGATGGCCTGGCTGGCCTCTGAGTCCAACCCAGATGGAGGCTGGCAGTTTGTAGGGCTCAGGGGCTCAGGGGATGACTGAGTGCTGACAGCAACCGACTGGAGCAAGTTCAGGAGCCAGGTGCTCTCTTCTGGGACCAGGGAAGTGGTCTGCTCCTCGCAGAGTCACAGGAAGTCACACAGTGGCCTGCACTCACCCTGCCTCTGCATGCGCTCCAGGGAGCAGGGCGAGCCTCTGGGACGCAGTCTGTCCCCACGTCCTTCTCACGGCTCAGCCGCAGCCCCGTTTCTCTTTCCGTTTGCTGGGAGCGCTCATCCTGTGCGTGGTTTTCATGGTGTTCTTTTGCATGAATGAGCTTCATACAGGCCAAATATGGTCGTGTTATTCTCAATTTTTCTGCTGCTCATTTGGTACGTGAATGGCTAGAAATGGCAGCAGAGATCAGAGGCACAGCTTCTCCTTTTGCCAATAAACTCCTTAGCAGTGGTTCCGGAGCAGAGCGCCCAGAAACACCGCCGGCTGGGCGCTGCTGGATAGCTCCGGCCGGCACGGAGAGCAGTCGTAGGGCCCCTGCGGCCATCTGATGGCTCACATGGGAAGGGCTTGGTCACAAACACGGAAGGAAAGCCTCCACCAGCTCAGAGTGGGAGCGGGGCGAGGACCTTCTCCTGGAGAGACAAGGACGTTAGCCAAGAGAGGCAGGGACACTACCCTGGAGGAGGTGGTAACTTCTGCCCGTGGCGGTCACATGGTCTCTTTCCCTGATCACGACAAATCATCCATTTAAGCACAGGAAGTGCTATGTCACCCTGGTTTGTGTGTAGCAGGAGCCATGCGGTGTGAGGGACAAAAGTAATGGTGATAATCAGGACAGGCGCATGTGACCCACCTCTGCCGCCTTCCCAAGGGCCCTGGCCCGGAGGGGCCCCGCACGCGGTGAAGGGGTTCACCGGACTGGGGCTCCCCTTCAGCTTCTCACTCTGCACAGCACTCGGGTGTTCAGTTTCTCCGCTTGGAGAAGATGAATTTAAAACACTGTGTCACTTCAGAGATTTTTATGGTGATGAAATGCGAGAAATATTCTGAAACAGTAGGAATGATTGAGACTCCATAAAGACCAATGACTTCCTTGTAAGTGGGAGGGAGGACCTCGCCAGGGAGCACCCCACCCCCATCCGCCTTGCACTCCGCCGTGCCCTGATCTGCCCCCACAGGCCTTCGCCTGACTTTTCCTCCATGCCTGACAGCGATCTCGTCTCTAATCAGCGCTCCCGCTTCCAGCAAGAGCACCCATGACTAGACTTGGTGTCAAATAAAAATTGGTCTTTTCTAAGAAAGCCAAGTCACCTTGCAAAGACGAAGTGTTGTCACCCACGCGGCCCGCGGAGGTACTGTGCGTCACAGGAGGTGGGCCTTTGTGCGAAGGGTCGTTCTGCTGCTGTACAGGGTTTTGCAGTCACCGCGTGCGCTAATGCGAAGGGAAACCGGGCAGCTCCCCGGTGTGAAGCCTCTGCCCAGCAGAAGGCCCTGAGCAGCGGGCTGAAGGGCCCTGTCCCCACTGCAGTTTGCACCTACCCTCCTTCCACGCTCTCAGCCTAAATCCTACGCACAGAGGTGACGGGGGCGGCGGCTCTGATTGCCGGGCTGTGCCCGAGTCAAGAGCTTGCTGGCTTTTCCTGAGTGTCCTAAGCAACACAAATGCGGTCACCTCACGTGCAGACCCCTGCAGGACCACAGACTTGCAGCACATAGTCAGTAAAGGTTTCAGGTAGCCTGGACCTACTCTGTGTCATCACAGCCCCTGGGATATAAGAAAGTGTCACCATGACACGTGACACGAAGGTTAGCATTGGGGATCTCGGCCCGCAGCACGGATGGATCCATGCAGTCCCCCAGCACGGCCCAGGTGGGTCCCTGTGTAAAACACGGCTGTGGGATCCCTGAGAGCAAATGGGGACGGGCTCCTCTCTCTCCGTCTCCTCCTCATCTCTGAGTGCCGCGCTTGGGTCCCCTGGAACCCGGGTGCCAAACCTTCACTAAAAGCCGAGAGCTCGGACAGCGGCTTTCATGTACCTGTCACTGTGGTTTGGACGAGTGTCCCCCAAAGGACTGCTGTTAAAGGCCTGATCTCAGGTGAGGCTGTTGGGAGACTGTGGGGCCCAGTGGGAGGTCCTCGGCTCATGGAGGCTGTGGTCGATGGGACCTGGGTCCCTTCCCCTAGCACCTTCCTGTCTGCGACACAAGCATGTACTCCGCGGTGATGGGCTGCCCTCCCCAGAGGCCCAAACTCACTTTGGACTTGGACCTGCAGAACTGTGAACTGACACAAGCCTGTCTTTACCTCCTGTATTGCCTGCAGCAGGCCTTGCGGTGATGAGGAGCTGCCTACTGACCAGCTGACTTAGAAGCGAAGGCAGAAGGATGTCAGCACAGTCTGTAGAGCTGCACTGGGCTCGTGTGGGATAGCCTCAACTCCAGGCCAATATGGGCTAGCCTTAGCTCCAGGCTGATAGGGTCTAGCCCTGGCTCCAGGCCAGCATGGGCTAGCCTCAGCTCCAGGACAATATGGACTAGCCTCAGCTCCCAGGCTGCACTAAGAAGGTCAAGGCACCCAGGGGGGCTGAAGGAGAAGTCCTGGTCATGCACACCCCTCTCAGGAGGAGGAGGCTTTCCCTCTATGGCTGAGCACTAGGTCAAAAAATGCAGGACAAAGAAAAGGACACTCACTCTAGAATAAGCAGGGAAAGCAGCGGTCTAAAATACAAGGTGTGAGGAAGAAGGTGTGATGGGGGAGCGGGGCAAGGAAACAAGCACTGAAAATTGGAGAAAGGAGGCTGAGGGACGTTGAGGGGAATTGAGGGGCTTCTCCAAGAGCAGAGGAGGGCTGGGAGCAGACGGGCTCCCTCCCGTCCGAGGACGGGGCGCCCAGTGCGTGGGAGGGGAGGGGACTCACAGCCAGTGATTTCCACAGAAACTCTGGGTTACGGAGAAAAGAAATTCCACAGCAACCCTGGAATGAGGAAGTAGGTTTTGATAAAGGATCGAGATTTAGGCTGATCTCCAAATTCTCCTCTGTTTCATGTTTATTGTTATTTAACATCTCAATGTGTTTTTAAACAATCAAGATCTTGTTGTTTAAAAACAATTCTTCCTGCATATACCCTATACTGACCTAGGAAGGAAACTCAACATTAAAGTTTCAAATTAAAAAGTCGGCATGTTTAAAAAAAAAAAAATCTCTAAAATCAGGTCACCCATAGGTAGTGAAAAGCTACTATCAGCTGGTGACAGATGCAAGTAAGCT